ATTTTCCATAAACCCCAGTGCTAACACCAACTGTGAACCCACTGGAAAATAATGAAAACATAACTTAGAATGAATGAAAATTGAATACACATACTTATCTTCAAGGATTTTACAGATAGACAGCTTGGAGCCAAAAACTGTAAAAATCTGCACCCTCTGTGATTTAATTTTCAACCAATAATCCTTTGCAAAATCTAATACTTTGGAATCACATTTCTGTCCCGTAGACAGGTGGTCATAATATAGAAGTGGTCACTAATGCAATATGGGCTATGGCACTTAGTTTCTCTTGATGGCATGCTAACTAAATTGTAACACTGTATATTTGTGTGTATGCTATCACAGGTACAAGATAAAATTAATGTAGCATTGGCAAAGAGAGTGGAAGCCGAAATATATAAAGAAAATAGTGGTGAAAAACGAGAAGCTCTTTTCCGAGTTCTTGGACACCAGTATGTGAAGAAATACCTCAGTCAGTACCCATATGACCCTGCTCTTCTGGTATGTATGTTATATTAACTATCTGAGTTTCGTCATCATTCACAAAATAAAATTTGCTAAATTTTTCAGTATTTCTCCACAATTTCAATCAAGACCAGTAGCTACAAGAAAATTACAGCCATTTAGTCCAAAATGATCAAAATAATTATTCAAAAATGCTCAAAAATAGGCAAAATGTTTCACTAAAGTTTCGGCTGGAAAAATGTTGGCACTCAAAGGGTAAATGTAATGTCTCAGTTAATACTGTGAAATACTTTATTTTCGCTTGGAATTATTTTTAGCTATTTTCGCTGAAGGAGTGATCCAGCAAATATACTTTTTTCCTATAATTCACATTCAACTTGTCAGAAATCAGTGAAAAAAAAATTCCATACAAAACACCTAAAAACACGTTTCAGTGAAAATTAATAACTGAATTTGATTGCAATTGGATGTTGGTAGAGTCACATTTAATCTATGGCTGCATATCTTAACACAAAGTAAATGTACCTCTCGTAATTTTTCAATACAAATAGTGTTTAAGGATCACCAACCAATCAGATGTTTAGTTACTAACTGTTCTC